CTTTGCTTCATCACTCTATCGCTCCTCTCCCCTCTTTCTCTTCTTCCTCTCTCTTCCCTCTTTCACACTTTTCCCTTCTCCTTCCCCTTCTCCCCCATTTTACCCTTCTCCCCTTCTTCCCCTCTCTTCCCCATCTTTTCTTTATCCCTTTCTCTCTCTTCCTTTCTCTCTTCTCCTCCTCTCTACTCCTTTCCTCCTTTCCCCTCATTCATTCCTCTTCTTCTTTCTCTCTTTTCCCCCCCTTCTCCTCTTCCCTCCCTCCCCTTCCCCCTCTCTCCCTCTCTTCCCTCCTCTCCTCCTCTCTCCTCTCTGCTTCCCCCCTCTCCCCCTCTCTCCCTCTCTGCCCCCCCCTCTTCCCTCTCTCTCCTCCTTCTTTCCAATTTCCCTCTCTCTCCCTCTCTTTCCCCTCTCTTCCTTCTCTTTCCCCTCCTCTCTCTTCCTCTCTGCTTCCCCTCCTTCCCCTCTTTCCTCTCTGCTCCCCCCTTCTTTCCTCTCTCTTCCTCCTTTCTTTCCCAATTTCCCTCTCCCACCCCTCTCTTCCTCTCTGCTCCTTCCCTCTTCCTCTTCCTTCCCTCTTTCCCTTCTCCTCCTTTCTTTCTTTCCAATTTCCTCTCTTCCCCCCCCTCCCCCTGTGGCAGCGACCTCCCCGCAGAGGAATTGGCAATTTCCCGCAAGTTGGATCCGAGTCTGACCTTTGCGTGACCTTTTCCAAGTCTGTTTTACTGCCCGAGAGGTCTTCTTCCTTTGTCTTTGTCTGTCTGTCTGTTTGTCTCTCTCTCTCTGTCTGCGTCTCCGTCTCTGTCTTTGTCTGTCTGTCTGTTTGTCTCTCTCTCTCTCTCTCTGTGTGTTTCCGTCTTTATGACTCTTTCCTCTTCCTTGTATCTTCTCAATTTCGTGTCTGTCTGTTTTGTTTGTCTCTCTCTCTCTGCCTGTGTTTCAATCTTTATGACCTCTTCCTTGTATCTTCTCAATTTTCGTGTCTGTCAATCTTTATGACTTTTTTTCTCTTCCTTGTATCTTCTCAATTTTCGTGTCTGTCTGTTTGTCTGTTTGTCTCTGCCTGTGTGTCTGTATCTGTCAATCTTTCCTCATCTTAATTTCGTCTACGTCTGTCTGTTTGTCTGGATCTCTCCTTTCTCCTTGGCCCTGTCTCTTCCCTCTTCTTCTCCCTCCGTTTCAAGTATTCCATCCCTCTATCCTTTTCTTCCTTCTCTTCCTTCCCTTCTTCCTCCCTCCCTTCCTTACCTCTTTTTCTCCTTCCCTCACTCTCCTCGTGTCCCCACCTACCCATCCTCCTTTCCCCTACCCTTCCCTCCCTCTCAGACATTCCTCCACCTGTCCCCCTATCCCTCTCCTCCCCTTCCCTTCCCTTCCCTTCCCTTCCCTTCCCTCCCTCCCTCCCCTCTACCCTCTCCCTCCCCTCCTTCCTCCCCCTCCCCTCCCTCCTCCTCCTCCTCCTCCCTCCTCCCTCTCTCCCTCCCCCCCTCCCTCCTCCCTCTCTGAAAATATCCTTCCCCTCCTCCCACCCCTCCCTCCTTCCCTCCCCTCCTCCCCCTCCTCCTCCCCCCCTCCCTCCTTCCTCCCCTGAAATATTCCTTCCCCTCCCCCCTCCCCCTCGCCCCCTCCCTTCCCTAATGAGCAGCCATGACAAATGAGCTGATTCTTGGCGTCCGTTTTTGGGCATCGCGGGGGTGGGGGAGGGGGCGTGGGGGGTATGGGCATGGGGTAGGAGGCATGGAAGGGGAAGGGGAGGGAGGGTATTGCTCGTGGGTATCGGGGGTGGGTGGGAGGGGCGTGGGGGTATGGGCATGGGGTAGGAGGCATGGAAGGGGAAGGGGGATGGGGATCGGGGTGGGGTGGGAGGGGGTGGGGGTATGGGCATGGGTAGGGCATGGAAGGGAAGGGGGAGGGAGGTGGGTATTGCTCGTGGGTATCGGGTGTGTGGAGTAGGTAGGGGGGGGGGGCGTGGATACGGGAGGAATGTGGAATGTGATCGAGGTTATTTTACATCTGTTTTTATTGTGTGTGTTGTGTTTCTTTATGTTTTTATTTTATTTTTTTTTGTTGTTCTTTTATGTTTTTTTTTCTTTCTTTTATGTTTTTTTCTTTTTGTCTTTTGTTTTTCAACCTTTCTTCTCTTTTTTTTGTTTTTCCTTCCGTCATCCCTCTCCCTCTCCCTTCCCTCCTTCTACTCCCTATCCCTCCCTTCCCTCCACTTCTCTCCCTTCATTTTTCCTTCCCTTTTCTCCTCTCCCTTTCTCCCTTCCCCCCTCCCTCCATCTCTCTCCCTCCCCTCCTTCCTCCCCAGGTGCCTGCGTGTATGTGCGTGCGTGCGTGGCGTGTGCCCCCCCCCCCTCCCCCACTGAGTGATGGCCTCTGAAAAGGTCGTGACAGTGCGGTCACATTTGTTTATTATCCTTTTCCTTCAATTCGCGTTTAAAGGCCATTAATACGGCGCTTGTGGGGGATTCTCTGGCGGGAGAGAAGAGGAAAAAAGGTTCTATTTACTTGGAGGTGAGCTCGCTGGTGGAGGTGGTCGCTGGTGGGTGGTCGCTCGTGGAGGTGGTCGCTGGGTGGAGTGGTCGAGGTGGTCGCTGGGTGGAGGTGGTCGCTGGGTGGAGGTGGTCGCGCTGGGTGGAGGTGGTCGTCGCTGGTTGGGAGGTGGTCGCTGGGTGGAGGTGGTCGCTGGGTGGAGGTGGTCGCGCTGGGTGGAGGTGGTCGCTGGGTGGAGGTGGTCGCTGGGGTGGGTGGAGGTGGTCGCTGGGTGGAGGTGGTCGCTGGGTGGGTGGTCGCTGGTGGAGGTTGGTCGCTGGGGTGGAGGTGGTCGCTGGGTGGAGGTGGTCGCTGGGTGGAGGTGGTCGCTGGGTGGAGGTGGTCGCTGGGTGGACCGCTGTGGAGGTGGTCGCTGGGTGGAGGTGGTCGCTGCTGGTGGAGGTGGTCGCTGGGTGGAAGGTGGTCGCTGGTGGAGGTGGTCGCTGGGGTGGAGGGGTCGCTGGGTGGAGGTGGTCGCGCTGGGTGGAGGTGGTCGCTGGGTGGAGGTGTCGCTGGGTGGAGGTGGTCGCTGGTCGCTGGAGGTGGTCGCTGGTGGAGTGGTCGCTGGGTGGAGGTGGTCGCTGGGTGGAGGTGGTCGCTGGGTGGAGGTCGGCTCGCTGGGTGAGGTGGTCGCTGGGGAGGTGGTCGCTGGGTGGGAGGTGGTCGGGGGTGGAGGTGGTCGCTGGTGGAGGTGGTCGGAGGTGGTCGCTGGTGGAGGAGGGTGGAGGTGGTCGCTGGTGGAGGTGGTCGCTGGGTGGAGGTGGTCGCTGGGTGGAGGTGGTCGCGGTGGGGTGGTGCGCTGGTGGAGGTGGTCGCTGGGGTGGAGGTGGTCGCTGGGTGGAGGTGGTCGCTGGTGGAGGTGGTCGCTGGTGGAGGTGGTCGCTGGGTGGAGGTGGTCGCTGGGTGGAGGTGGTCGCTGGGTGGAGGTGGTCGCTGGTGGAGGTGGTCGCTGGTGGGGTGGTCCTGGGTGGAGGTGTCGCTGGGTGAGTGGTCGTGGGTGGAGGTGGTCGCTGGGTGGAGGTGGTCGCTGGGTCGCTGGGTGGAGGTGGTCGCTGGGTGGAGGTGGTCGCTGGGTGGAGGTGTCGCCTCGCTGGGTGGAGGTGGTGCAGGTCGCTGGGTGCAGGTTGGTCTGGGTGGGGTGGTCGCTGGGGTGGAGTGGGAGTGGTTCGCTGGGTGGAGGTGGTCGCTTGGTGGAGGTGGTCGCTGGGTGGGGGTGGCTGCGGGGGGGGGGGGAGGTTAAGATTGTGTGTATTTTATGTATGTGTGTTTATATATATGGTGAGTGGTGTGTATGTATTTATGTATATCATGTATATCATATATATATATATATATATATATATATATATATATATATATATCTATATATATATATATATATATATTATATATATTATAATATATTATATATATATATATAATATTATATATAATAATAATATATATATATATATATATATATATATATATATATATATATATTATATAATAATATAATATATATATATATATATATAATATAATATATATAATACATATATATATATATATATATATATACTCTCTTTCTTTCCCTTCTCCTTTTTCCCATTTTCTCTGTCCTTCTCCTCGTCATTTTTCGCTTCTCTTCCTTTCTCTCTTTTCGTCTCTTTTTTCCTTTCTTCTTCCTTCCATTTCTCTCTTCACCTTCATCTCTTTCTTCTCTTCTCACTCTTTCCTTTCGCTTTCTCTTCTTCTCCTTTCCAGTTTCACTCACTTCTCTCTTCTCTTCTCCTCTCTTCTCCCTCTCCCTTTTCTCTTCTCTCTTCTCTTCTCTTCTCTTCTCCCTCCCCCTTTTCTCTTCTCTCTTCTCTTCCCCCATTTTTCCTCCTTTCTTCCTCCTCCTCCTTCCCTTACGTCAAAGTTATCAGGATGTGTTTTGCGTGCGCGTGTGTGCGTGCGCGCGGACCTGTCTGAGCGCACGCATCACCGGCGACGTGGCTCTCATGGGTATTTGTTTACTGGAATTTGTTGTGATGCTTGTTGGTCGTTTGTGTTGTTGTTGTCTTTGTTGTTTGTTTGTTGTGATGCTCGTTGGTCGTTTGTGTTGTTGTTGTCTTTGTTGTTTGTTTTGTGTGGCTCGTTGGTCGTGTTGTGTTGTTGTTGTCTTTGTTGTTTGTTTGTTTGATGCCGTTGGTGTTTGTGTTGTTGTTGTCTTTGTTGTTTGTTTGTTGTGATGCTCGTTGGGTGTTTGTGTTGTTGTTGTCTTTGTTGTTTGTTTGTTGTTACTGTTGTTACTGTTGTTGTTTGTGTTGCTATTGTCTTTGTTGTTTGTTTGTTGGATGCTTGTTACTGTTGTTGTTTTGTGTCATTGGTTGTTGTGTGTTACTGTTGTTGTTGTTTGTTGTTGTTACTGTTTGTTGTTACTGTGTGTTGTTATGTTGTTGTTATTATTGTTGTATTTTGTTGTTTGTTGTTATTGTTGTTGTTGTTGTTGTTGTTGTTACTGTTGTTGTTGTTATTGTTGTTGTTACTGTGTTACTGTTGTTATTGTTGTTGTTTGTTGTTATGTTATTAGTAATTGCTATTATTGTTATGAAGATGATGATTATTGTTATAATGATGAGCGCGATTTTAGTAATGATAACGATAGCAACGATAATAGTAATAATGGAGATAATGATATCAATAATGATAATGATGATAATAGTAATTATTATTGTCATTACCATCATCCTCATCATCATATCGTTAAGCACCATATTATCATCATTATCAACAAATCATTATGATGATGATGATTTTGCTAAAAACATTTTCTATTCGATGAAAAGAGGGAGGTAGGTAGAGGGGAGGGGAAGGGGGGAAGGAGGAGGAAGGGGGGGGAGGAACCAAACAGGGATTGAGGGAGGGGAAGGGAAGGGAGAAGGGAGGGAGGAAGAGGAACAAGAAGGGGATTGAGGGAGAGGAGGGAAGGGGGTTAAGGGAGAAGAAGAACAGGGAGAAAAGAGGGAGAAGGAGATAACAGGAGGAAAGTGAGGATAGCCAGGGTTAAGGGAGTTAAGGGAGGGGGAAGGGGGAAGGGAGGGGAGGGAGAGGGGAAAGGCAGGGGAAGGGAGAGGGGAAAGGTAGGGGAGGGAGAGGGGAAAGGAGGGGGGGGGTGAGGGAAAGGGAGGGAGGAGAAGGAGGGGGTGAGGGGAAAGGGAGGGGAGGGAGAGGGGAAAGGGAGGAAGGGTTTGAGGGAGGGAAAGGGTTTGAGGGAGGGTGAAGGGAAAGGGAGAGAGAGGGGGGGTTGAGGGGGAGGGGAAGAGGTGAAGGGAAAGGGAGAGGAAGGGAGGGTTTGAGGAGGGGAGGAGAGGGGAGAGGTTGAAGGGAGGGGAAGAGAAGAGGAGGGGAGGGAGAGGGAAGGGGAGAGGGGAAAGGGAGGGAGGGAGAGGGGAGGGGGTGAGGGGGGGTAAGCGAGGACAAGAGCCGGACGCACTTCAGAGGCGCTCGAGGGGAACAAGTGGGGGTAAATCGCGTCCATTTGAAGAGGGGAAGGAGGAACGAGGGATGAAGTGGTTGAGGAGAGGAGAGGGAAGGGAAAAGGGGCGAAGGAGGAGGAGAGGAGGAGGGAAGGAGGAGGGGCGAGGAGGAGGGAAGGAGAAGGGGCGAGGAGGAGGGAGAGGAGAAGGACGAGAAGAGGGAGAGGAGGAGGAAGGAGAAAGGACGAGGAAGACGGAGGAGGAGGAAGGGGGAGGAAGGGAAGGAGGAGGGGAGAGAGGAAGAGGAAAGAGAAGGAGGAGGGAGAGGTAGGAAGAAAGAAGAGTGAGGAAGAAGGAGTTGAGACAAGAAAGAGAGAAAAAAAAACAAAAAAAAACGAAATCAACTAAAAAAAAAAAAAACAAAAGCCAAAAAGAATCAAAAACTACCAGAGAACAGGCGAGAATAAAAGCATAGGAAACAGAGAAGGAGAAGATTGGCCCATTCCCTCCGCAGTGCCATCCGTAGCACGGGTAGCGACCGCAGCCAAACGCGCACAAGCCCTCCCTGTGCGTGCGTGCGTGGTGGCGTAGATAGGCTCGTGCGTGCGTGCGTGCGTGCGTGCGAGCGAGCGATGAGCGGACTCTTTCTCTCTCTCCTCTCTCTCTCTCTCTCTCTCTCTCTCCTCCGTCTCCTCTCTCTCTCTCTCTCTTCTCTCTCTCTCTCTCTTTCTCTCTTCTCTCTCTCTTTCTTCTTTTTCTCTTTTCTCTTCTCTCTCTTTTCTTTCTCTCTCGCTCTTCTATTTCTGGATCTCTCTCTTTCTCTTTCTCTCTTTTCCTCTCTCTTTCTCTTTTCTCTCTCTCTCTTTTCTTTTTCTCTCTCGCTGTCTCCTCTTCTGGATCTCTCTCTCTCTTTTTCTTCTCTCTCGCTCTCTTATTCTCTTTTCCTTTCTTTCTCGCTCTCCTCTTCTCTTTTTCTTTCTCTCTCGCTTTATCTCTATCTATCTATCTATTTATCAGTCTTCCAATCTATATGTTTATCTATCTCTATCTCTTTCTCCCTCCCTCTTTCCTTCCTTCCCTCTCCCTCTCACCCCCTCCCTCTCCTTCTCTCTATCCCTATCCCTCTTTTCCTCCTTCCCTCTCCCTCTTCCCATCCTTCTTCACCCTCTCCCCTTCTTTCCTCTTCCCTCTCCCCCTCCCCCTCCTCCCTTCCTCCCTCTCCCCCTCCTTTCCTCCTCCCTTCTCTTCCCCCACTCCTTCCCTCTCCCCTCCTTATCCCCCTCTCCCTCCCCTCTCCTCCTTCCCTCTCTCCCCCTCCTTTCCTCTCCCTCCCCCCTCCTTCTCCTCTCCCTCCCTCTCCCCCTCCTTCACCCTCTCCCTTCCTTCCCCTCTCCTCTCCTTTCCTTCCCTCTCCCCCCTCCTTCTCCCCTCTTCCCCCTCCTTCCCCTCCTTTCCCTCCCCCCTTCTTCTCCTCTCTCCTCCTCTTCCATCCCTCTTTCCTCTCCTTCCCCTCCCCCTCTTCCCCCTCCTTTCCTCTTCTCCTCTCCCTCTCCCCACTCCTTCCCTCCTCCCTCTCCCTCTCCTTCCCTCCTTTCCTCCTTCCTTCCTCCCCCCTCCCCCTCCCCTTTCCCAACAACTGAGGAATTAATTAGCAGGATGTCATCGCTTCTGATCCCGCCCACGCCTTCCGCACGACGTCCTGCGTGGCGTGGGCGTGAGAGGCAGCTTTTGGCTTCCAGGAGGACACCCCCTCCCCTCCCCTCCCCCTCTCCTTCTTCCCTGCTCCCTCTCCTCCTTCCTCCTTCCTCTCCCTTCCTTCCGATTCCGATTTTCTTAGGTGTTAAGTAGGGGGTGAGGTGAGGGTGGAGGGGGGGTGAGAGGAGAGGGAGGGAGTGTTTTTTTTTCCAATATCTTGTCATCGTCTTATTCGTGCGTGAGAGAGAGAGAGAGAGAGAGAAGAGAGAGAGAGAGAGAGAGAGAGAGAGAGAGAGAGAGAGAGAGAGAGAGAGAGAGAGAGAGAGAGAGAGAGAGAGAGAGAGAGAGAGAGAGAGAGAGAGAGAGAGAGAGAGAGAGAGAGAGACAGAGACAGAGACAGAGACAGAGAGAGAGAGAAGAGGGAGAGAGAGAGAGAAGAGAGAGAGAGAGAGAGAGAGAGAGAGAGAGAGAGAGACAGAGACAGAGACAGAGACAGAGACAGAGACAGAGACAGAGACAGAGACAGAGACAGAGACAGAGGACAGAGACAGAGACAGACAGAGACAGAGACAGAGACAGAGACAAGAGACAGAGAGAGAGAGAGAGAGAGAGAGAAAGAGACGTTAATAAAGTACGGTCTATAGCAATTGCTGAGTTCCGCATACCTAGAGGTTTGCAAGTAAGGACTTAGGAGACGGGGGGGGGGGGGGTAAGGGAAGGGAAGGGAGAGAGGCGGAGAGGGAGGGGAGGGAGACGGGACAGGAAGGGTAGGGAGGAGAGGCGACAGGGAGGAGGGGGAGGAGACGCGACGGGAGGGAGGGGGTGAAAGGGGAGTGTCCTTTAGCGTTACCTTCTTGATATTGGTTCGGTGGAGGTGAAGGAGGTGGAGGGGCTGGGGGGGGGGGAGGAGAGGGGTTAGGGAGGACCAAGGCGTTTGGGCGTGCGGGCGGGGAAGGAAGGAGGAGAGGAGGAGGAGGGAGGAGGAGAGGGAGGAGGAGAGGAAGGAGGGAGGAGGAGAGGAGGAGGAGAGGAGAGAAGGAGAGGGAGAGAGAGGGGAGGGAGGGAGGAGAGGAGAGGAG